TGTATTATTATCAGCCTTTATACGTCATCGAAAGGGTTCCTCCGCCGCAGCTTTTTAGCGACGAGAACCCTAACGCTTGTTGCATTTTTTAATTTAAGTATGGCATTGGGAAAAATATATAATTAGGGGAATTATTACGTAAGAAAATGATGAAAAGAAAATAGGTTCGATGAAAAAAAAATATGTAGACTATATATGTAATTTGTGGTTGGTATCATTATATATCAATGGATACGTTTACGCATTGGTATATACGTAATTGAAACTGAGAGCGATCGACAAGGAATCTATTCATATTCATGTAAGTATACGCAGATGTGTGTATTAAGAATTTGTTTTGTATATTCTTGAGGAAACTTTTATTTTGGTAATGAAAAAGGGATTTAGAGAGACAAGAGAATCTAGTGGGAATGGGAGATCCGTGTGGGTCTCTCTTTTTCCTTTGCTACGTCAATCTCCATTTCTACGACGTGGCAGCTTTTCCAGCCTGACTTGTCTATTTTTTCTCCACCTCTCAAATTTTTGAAGGTTCTTTTCTATCAAAAACAGAACAAGTTAATGATATATATTTCAATATACAGAAAGTTTGATTAGTAGGGTTTTCTTTTACCATAACAATGATAAGGAATACCGCTTAAGTTGTTACTTGTTACTAATCAAAACGGATACAAAGATAAATTTGGAAAGATAAAATTTATCAAAAAAGAAGAAGATAAATTTGGAAAACTAAACAATTCAACAAAAAAAACTAGGTAAATGAAATAGTATATACTATCTCTTAGTCTTAACAATATATTTTTACCGGTAAATTTTATTTATTATTTTATTTGATTAATCGGATCCAAGGTCTTCAAGTTTTTTTTATCAGCATAATCTTGGATTTATAATTTTCTACGAATTAGATTAATGGATAAAGAAAAAACAAAAAAGAGAGTTAATATTATGTAAAAAAATCTACATAATTCTAAACTTCTAATGAACATAATTGTGACAAAAAAAAATGAACATAATTAGAAACAAATTGTGAAGTTGATTCTTACTTTGGTAAAATGACACTTGATTTAAGCTACCGGAACAACATCCATTGAGGAGATGATTCGATGGGCTGGGCCGAAGATCATAATCCCAAGAGAGAGTCAAGCTGGTCCAATGGCAAATACGCAATTAGTAGAAACTAGAAACCGTTGCCAACAAAGAAAACATAGAGTATATAGAGAGTGACAAAAGATCCTCTTAACATTTTTTGGGCTTAAAGGCTAAGAGAGTGAGTGATTCCTCTGCGTTATATTTTTGTTCAGGTTAATAATTTCTTCGTAATCCTACTTTCCAACGCTGGCCACATACTATACTAAAATTGAAGTTTCTTGGCGATTGCGTCATCCTATTCCCAAAAAAGAAAATTGATGTGGTTATGGAGGCTAGTTGCAACATTACAAGGTCGGTCTAATGTTTTCGGATACCATTCATACGTTAATATCAAAGAATTTGTGCCATTTTTGAATATATATTCGATAAAATTGAAAAGTTTATGCCATTTTTAGATACTATTTATCTCTCAAGGCTTTGAGTCAAAGGGAAAATCTAACAATTTTTTTTTTAAGTTGCTAAACGAAAAATTAAGATGGATTATATGGAAAAATATATGTTATGACTTCTAACCTCTTCTCCCATAAATTTGATGTGTTTTTTTTTTTTCAGTTGAGGGCTGAAAAACATCGAGAGATGGGAGATGCATGTATCAAGATTGTGATTATTAAATGTGTTACAGCTGTGTCTGATGATATAACACCCCAAACCTTCCATTTTTTCTTGTGACTAACACAAAGTATAGAATATGTTGATTTAAAATCTAATATATTTGTACTTTTAATAATTGATATAATTTCCCGATAACATACTCTATTTTACGTGATACTTTGCTATTTTTTTATGACAGTTTTGGCAAGATAATCAAATAATAATTAGGCTGTTTAAACCAAACAAACAAAAAATCAAAATTTTTATATAATAGTTTTTGTCAACATATTTTTTTTTATATATAAGTTTGATGAAACTCGTGAATTCTCAACTTACAGCAACGATTCGAGTTTCAGACTTGTCTCTTTACATTCTATCATTTTATTATCACTATTAGTACAGTGTCATTATAATCAAGAGTTTGAACATGAAAGTTACACTTTTTACTTTGACCAAAAAAGTGAAAAATTATAAAACAAATAACATCTGTTATTTTCCTTAAAAACAAATAACATTATGAGCATTAAGTTACATAATACTTGTACATCACTCATTGTGTGGTGTCTTTGATTTTCCTAGTGTCCTACAATCATAGAAGTCGTTGAACTAATTATTAGCAAATACTTATTGAAATCGGTTATTCATTTAATTGTTTGCCGGTAACGATTACGTTGCTACTGGTTCGGGTTTTTTTTACATTCAATTCTAGTTCGAATTTAACATTGGGTACTAAAACCACTTCATATTACAACTATACGGATATAAATTTTTGTTAAGATACCATATACACAAAAAAATATTATTATTATTATATACTTTAACAAATTATCCAATTCGATATCAATCACGACCATCTATTTAAATCCAAGGGCTATGATCTAGCTATTGGTATTTCTAAAGGGATAAAATTATATAAATCGGTTTTCTTTTTCTGGTTCGATTATAACTAAAAACTAAAACACATCCGTTGAGCATGGCTTTGAGCAATTGAGCTTCAGGCCATGATGCTTCACATGGTATGCTCAACACATTTACGTAATTGAGATTAGTCAAGTTTCTGCCCGATAATTCGAATATTATAACAAAAAAAAAATTTTTGGGGGGACCAAAACAAAAAAAAAAAAACAACCAAACCCTCAAAAAGAATGCATACAAAATAGTGGGAAATAAACAAATTCAGTGAAGTCGGTAGATCCGACGGCTAATGATAATTTATGAGCAGAACCTACCAGAATTTATGGGCATTAGCTTTAGAGCCCATATAACTCTATAAATACGGTACCGTCTCATAAAAGGTAACCACATTGTCTTGTCTTGCAAGTTGCAAATTACAATATTTATAAATAGGTTAATCAGTAGAGAGATTTTTAACGAGACATCAAGAAAGCAAATCATCATCATAAGAGAAGAAAATCTTCAAATCGTCATGATAACAGTAGCCATCGCTGCCGAGTTGCTTGAAGAATACACGGTGGCGCTCGCTCGCATCACCGCCACACTCCTGCCTCCACCACCGACAAGTCGCCGTCGAAGCGTGCGAGCTCCGAATAGCGGCGGTCGAGCTGATTCTCCGTTACCTCGTAACGATATGTCATCATCATGTGCTCCAAACTACGGCGCTTTTCTCTTGAATTTCTGAGCTTTTTTATTTCATTTTTTTTTTGTATAGACAGAAGGGATTTTCGAATTTTCTTCTTCTCGATTATAATTTTGAATCATGTTTGTGTTATCAAATTGGAAATTTCTATTTATTTTCGAGTTGACGTTTTTCTATTAGTCATTCGAGAATTGAACAGAAAAGCGTACAAATTTATTTTTATAAAATTAGAGAGTTCAAAGATTAATGTACCTTGTTAAAAAAAAAAAAAATTAATGTATCATATTGAGGATAGATAACGAAAGAACATTGTGGATAAGTATGAAATATATATTTTCAAAAGGCACATATAATAATTATCTTTCTCGAAAAATTAGATAATAAATTTGTAAGGTCAATATTTCATTTTGTTTTGTAGGTTTGTATATTCACAATTTTTTTTTTCCTTTGATAGAAAAGAACTCACCTTGATATTTGATATTGAGAGATTAACTAATGACGACCAAATATTTTTTTTATAAGATAGTATAATACTCCGGTAATAAAACAAAAATGAAAACTAAAAGATGCCCCACTTTTTTATATATAAAAAGGGATATTATTGTGAATTTTTTCTTATATATATTTTAAAAATATATGGGTTTTGTATTATGTGGAAAAGGAAACCGACATGCTGGGGAAGGGGACCGAACCACGTGAGTTCGTTTAAAAACAAATGATTCAGACAACAAACAAGTGAAGATTTTTGTGACGAAACTGAAAAAGAAAGACTTGTTTTTGAGCAACAACATTTCAAGTCTTTTTAACTTTCCTTTCTCTGTTTTTATAAAAAAAAAATTTGTCTAATTTATTCACCCGTAACGAACCTACATTTGTTAATTGGATACATATCCATGCCTTTTTGTTTTATGATGACGTATGATTCTATGAATTTTAGGTTGAAACCCAAATTAAATTTAGGAACTTGTAGAAAAGTGAACTAGAGACAAATGTATTACAACAAACTAGAATCCACTTTGGGAGATTTATTTCATCACAATATAACTTTAAGATTTATTAAACGCTTTATAAATAATATGTTGTCAAGTTGATACTAAACCTTTAAACAAAAAAAAATGTTGATACTAAAACATACGATAGAAAGTAGAGATGAAGATAATATCAAAGTGATCAGGTAATCAATGATTAAAAATAACATCACAAAGCCTCCGTTGTAAAAGTGTCTCAGAACTTGTGTCTCAAAACCTTTGTTAAATCAATGAAAAAACTCTGTTGTTTGAAAACTAATGATAATATAGGGGATTCAACACCGGACAATGCACCAAAAGAAAAAAAAAATCAAGCCCTAGGGAGAAAGAAACCATAGAGCATCCTTGAGTTTTAAGTCAGGGAAATCCCTGAGCTTTAAGTTGGAGAAACCAGGGAAGCGTTTGAGGTTCTCTTCTTTTGGTAGAAAACGTTCGAGGCTCTTTGTTGCACGATTGAACACACATATGTCCAAGAAATGTTTGTTTGGACGGAAACGGTCAAGACGGGTGAAATAGATGGAGTTTGGTTCCATACCTAATGTATGATCAGCAGGAACGTTGACACCCGAATCAAGAAGCAAAACCTCATCATCACCAAGAGAATATACCTCAAAGAACATGTTTATACAGGATCCTTCTTGTAGATCTGGAAGGTCCTATAGCTCGTCTCGTCAAGGATGGTTTGGACTAACAAAACCTCTCCTGATCTTGTAACCGTAATGTTAAGTGTGTTTTCTTTTTCACTCGACGACCACATTGGTATTAATCCCTTATCCGCAGAGACATCATTGAAACCTTCTCGTCCAGACAAATCCACAAGTCGAATGTATTTACCAGTCGTTAACACGTAAAGATTGTAACCATGGAGGACCATATCAAACACGCCTTGTAACTCCGTGCGAAGACCGATATATGTTGAAATCACACTGTAATGAGAATTCCCATTCTTCCAAAAGGCTAAATATTTAATGGAACGGATTAGAAAGAACCACACTACAACGTATTCTTCCTTGTTCTCATCTACCCACAGAATACCTCTCAGATTTCCAGCATCTCTTATCCGGGAAGATAGATCATTCTCTTTAAATTTCTTATTTCCTACTCGCGTAAGACTATAACGACCACCTTTGATGGACACTAGAGGTGGAAGATTGATCCTCTTCTCGCGACACATCTATAATATAGAGTTTTGATTGAGAATCTAACACAAGGAACCAGCTACCTGAGTTTGCCAAAAATTGAAACCTTGAAAAGTGATCACGATTCGGCTTGTAAACCCTAATTTCGTCTGGATTGTACACCACGCAACCATGTTTTTTTTTCTGGAAAGAGCATCAACCATGGAGATCTATTTTTTCCGGGGAGTGGTTTCTTTCGAACACATGTACCAATACGAACACACGATTTTAGCACGGTGGAAGTCAATAAAACTCAAACGTTCGAACAGAAGTCTCAAGATATCGATACAAAGCTCCGATCAGGGGACATAAGAATTTGGAGTCTCCATGGTTTTATTTTGTTTATGGAGAAAACAAGATCGTTTATTAGTATTAGGAGACTGCCATTAGGGATATTTTTTTAGGGCTAAGAAACTGGGAGAGGAAAAAAAGACTAATTGGGGTTTATAGGCCAATCTATATAACATAATTAGGGATGTTTCCATATGTACCGGTTTGGGTTTTTTGACTAATATATTATTGATGATTTAGTACAATTTCGGTTTGTATTTGGATTTTTACCAAAAGTATATTTTTGATTTTCAAAGAAAGTTTGATTTTAGATAGATTTTTTTCAGGGAAATTGGCAAATATAACTAAGAAAAAAATGAAAACATAATAACTAAGCAAAACATTTTAGAATTTTTGGTTAATTATTATGTTTTAATTTTTTTTTGGTTATTAACCAAATTGACCCTTTTTCATATGTTCAGTTTTTTTTTTTTTTTGGTTGCTAAAAGACATTCTTTTTCTAAGTTCAGTTCAAAAATATTATTATATGGATTCGTTTTTGGCCCGATTATTTTGCTTAGATTTATCCTGATTGAACACACTATAAACATAATCATGGACTTGGGTAAATGGTTTAAAAGGATGATAGTGACGGGTTGCATCTAAATCCGACTAGGTATTTATTGTCCGTATTATCAACCACAATGATATGAAAAAAGTGTAGATAATATATACATTGCAATTGCATAGATAATC